AACTCTGTCCATTTGTCTTTACTTTCATTTTATCAGTAAGTTGGTTGTGGGGTTTTGGGTTGTTTTTTTTTTTTTTTTTGCTAAAGAGAACAGTTCAGTAGATGTGATTTTCCTGGAGCCTGAGACTTAGGAACACAGCTTCAGGAAGCCTTCTTTTACTTTTGGTAAACATTATTTCAGGTGTGCAATGATGACCCACCTTTCAAATCCCAATTTAATTATTCAGTGTAATGGTGTTACATTGATTAACGTTTCTCTGTTGCTTCTCTTTTAAGCCAGAGCTCTGGCTTTTTTTCTGCATATGTAGTGGCTGTATAAATGCACACCACTGAAGCTGTAAGTTTGTAACCCTAGCTAACTGTTTCATACAATGTGGCATATGTAAACTGGCAATTGCTGAAGACAATGAGGAAATACAGAGCAAAGAAGTAAGGGTATGTCTACACTACAAAGTTAATTCGAACTAACGGACATTAGTTCGAATTAACTTTGATAGGCGCTACACTAGCGCTCCGCTAGTTCGAACTTAATTCGAACTAGCGGAGCGCTTAGTTCAAACTAGGTAAACCTCATTTCACGAGGACTAATGCCTAGTTCGAACTAGTGGGAGGCTAGCCCTTCCCAGCTTGCCCTGCTGGCCACTCTGGGCACCACCAGGCAAACTCTACTGCCCCCCTCCCGGCCCCGGAGCCCTTAAAGGGGCACGGGATAGCTACAGTGTTTGTGCCAGTTGCAAGCCTGCCAGCACCATGCCAGCAGACCCTGCACCTGACACCCCATGAGCCAGCCACCCGATGCCCCCCAGCCCTCCCCCTCTTCCCGGGACCAGCCTGGCGGCTCCCAGGAGATCCAGGTTTGGGGGGAAGCTTCCAATGTCCATGATCTCCGCACTAACCACAGGAAGTAGGAATAAGAGATCCTCTGGAATAGGGCTTTATTCCGGAGGATCGGGCCAGTCTAGACGCTTTTTTCCAGCTTTTCCCCAAGCCGGAAAAAAGCGGCGGGATATTTAAATTCCCCGCGGATTTCCCTATTCTGAAGTTTAAAATTAGCATGCCCCTTTCGGAAAAGGGGCCAGTGTAGACGTAGCCAAAGAGTTTTCCCATTCTCAGTAAAACTGGGATTAGAACCTTGATTTTTTTTTTAGCTGAAATTTCTGTTACCAAAGTTGGCCTGTAAGATCTACAAACTCTAGTGTTTTCCCACCCTTTGCCTGCCTAATTTTCGGGGGGAACTAATTCCAGCTTTTTTTCTTTAAAGGAAGTTTCCACCCTGTTTGCTGTGGACAGAATCTTTTAGAATGTATGTTAATGTAGTAGTGAGGGTGAAAGTTAGCTGGTACTGTCCTCAGGGGAACCATAACACATATGAGTTTAACATATAGCCCATGAAAGCCAAATCTGAATTATATGGGTTCACACCCATGTCTAGTTTTGTGCTTTCTTTAGGTACTAGTGTAATAGTAAAGGGTGTGCTTTGTGGCCAGGTTCAGAACCCATGCAACTATGCTTAAGCCAGTCTCCTTGGTGCTTATGATTATACAGTTCATTGCAATAGAGGTATACCCAATACTTACTTTTGTTCATGGAAGTGCTGTAATGCAGTAGGTGCTTTTTTCAGACATGCAAGGATGAAAGGTCTGTTCACTGAGGCACTCACAGTCTACAGATCAATGGACTTGGGGGAAGCAGGACAACGAGCACAGATTTTGTTGGTACAAGCTATTCTGGTTCACTGAAAGCAGGATAATTAGTGGTTTCTCCAGAGACTTAAATGTGGTCAGGGGGCCTTGCAGATGAGCTCAGGGAACTTATACAGGTTGAACCTCTCTAGTCCGGCATACTCTGGTCCAGCAACATCTGTGGTGCAGCATGATTTGAGTGAGCTGGATGTTCACTTATCATGGGTGTGGCCAAATTTCCCACAGTCCCATAAAGTTTGTTTACAGCCACCAGTCCTGGCTCTCAGTGTTCAGTGCTGTTATTTAGCTCTAATTTACCCCACATTTCGTCTAAGAGCCCACTAAGCAACGGAAGTGCTGCTAATGCTGCTAGATAATATTGATCTCCCATGGTTTGGCACTGGTCAGGTCCTGAGGGTGCCAGACTAATGATGATCAACCTGTACCATGCACAGGGGACCACATGGCAAGACAGTCCTTTTATTGTAGATAAAATAAAGTCACCCTTTTCTGGCACTGGTCTGGCACTGGCTCTGAAAGCTGCATTTAAACATAATTTCTAGGTTCCTTTGGAATGTGCCAGGTTGTACCAAATAAGTATTTGAAAGAAAGATATCCTGGGAAGAGACCCACTGACCCTCCCAGAAAGAATATTATTACCAATCCCCTCTACTCTGTGGACTAGAACTTCAAACACAAACAGCCCTCCCAGATCCGTGGGATGAGAAGATGTGTCTGCTCAAACAAGCAAGTATGCACCCAGGATTTATGTGGGCTGTGCAGATGGTGTTGAAGACAGCCTCACGGCATCATCATTTCTATTTTATAGTGAACTAGCTAGAGTCTGGAGCATGGGTACACTATAGCTAGCATGGGTACACAAGCTGTCATTCGCACCCCCAGGTGCAGTGTAGGGGTTTGTCTAGACTACATGGCTCCATCGATGGAGCCATGTAGATGAGGCAGGATGACAAAGGGAAAAGAAATGGCGATTTAAATAATCACCGCTTCATTCAAATCAAAATGGCCGCCGTGCTGTGCCGATCAGCTGTTTGTCGGCACAGCGCGGCAGTCTAGACGGGGATCTGCCGACCCCAGAACACTGTGTCGGCAGATCCTTTATGCCTCGTGAAACAAGTCCCAAACAGCATGGGAATTGTGCATGCAGGGTAGTGTGGTTGGTTTGGTTTTGGGTATGCTGCTGTGTGGTTAGATAAGAGAAGACGACAAAAGTGCATCTGGTACTTGGAGCCCCAGAGCAGCTGAGCAGTCACTCCACGGCCCAGCTGAGGAGGTAGGTGGGAGGCAAATTCTTGATGTGCACCCATGTAGTCGTGTACCTTAGAAGGAACCCTGGCCAGAATGAAATTTTGACCTTTGAGTCCTGCAGACTTTCACAATCCTCTGAAGAGGAAAGTCACGTCATACAGCCTGTGCTGCAAGTAGGAAAAAAACATTCTCCTGTTCTGAATTTTGTATCTCTGAGAGAAAGAATTCCCTGGCTTCTCTGGAGGACTCTTACCAACTGGAAGGATTCATGACAGTATTTGTCAGCTCCTCCACTGTGGCTGCATCGCCCCTTCCAACACTCAGTGGTTTGACTTGCTGCACATGTTGGTGGTAGTGATGTGGTGTGAAGTTATTCTGGTGAGCAATCTTTAATGAGCTAAGAATTGCCTCTAAGCTTACAATGCACTCCGTGGGCTTCATTATGTCAAGAGTCAGTTTCTTCTGCAAAGGCTTCATGATCGTGTGCTCATAAGCTAGAGCAACTAGTTAGCAATCCACGGTATTTAAACTGGTATTGGCATTAAAACCACACTGGATCAATGCCTTTGCTGAACCCATTCACCCTACCAGGTGGACTATATTTGTTTGCCAACACTGCAGCAGTGATGTGCAATTTTGGATCAATGGGAATCAGCACTGCTCAGACTGTAAGAAATGACTGCTTCCCCCAGCAGTGACAGTCGAACGAAAGCATGTTCTGTGTTTTTTGGTCTGCTGCTTCTCCAGGTAAAATCAATGGGAGTCTGGCTCCATTTTAACTAATTGATCTTCCTGTATGTTCTGGGGAAATGGCTGCTTCTATGGAGTAAATTCAGCACCACTCACTACCCAAGACCTGTTTGCTTCCATATGCATTTATCGCTAATTGTGCTGCCTGGTGCATTCTGACAGAGATGGAGCAGAGTCAATAGTACCCTAGGAGTTTTCTGATGTGAGGAATGTCAGTTCTGTGGTGGATCAAATTCTTTTTACAGCTGACTTAGAGAAAGAGGGACAGGTAATGGGGGAAAATCAGAGTTGTGTCCAAATAATCTAACTAAATTGGATATAGTAGCGGTCAAGCTGCTCAAGTAATTACCTAGGGTTCTGGAAGGGTTTATACAGTCCACACGGAATTCAGTGCAGCCACAGCTTCGCTGCTCCCAGGACTGGCACTGTCTACGTAAAAGCTAGCTCAGGGATGCTGCACTCATGCACCATGATAACAGAGTAGATATACCCTAAGCATAATCCTGTGATATTCTATCCAATCCGTCACAGAGTTATGGGACGGGACCCTGGCAAGGTTTGGGTTTGGCTTGGATAAGCATCCACCAGAAGGGAAAAAGGTCTAAAATAGCTGGGTCTTCAGAGCAAATGAGTTTTAGCCCTGATGTGGATAGTTCCATTCTTCCAGGGGTCATGCAGCTGCTCAAAGAGGTC